GAGTCATGAAAGCAGTACTCCATCACAACAGCAATTTCAGAATTAACAGTGCAGCACCCGCTGAAAGCTCATTTTGTCCATCTACATTATCAGACCAGTAGATGAAATCGATTTTGTTGTTTAAAAGCAATCTACTGCGACAGTTTCATCAACATAGTGTTTTTCTCAGTGAATTATACATATAAATTGCTACTGGAGAAAAAAATCACTGCTTGAAACTTACAAATATTTAATCACATCTCGATGTTCTAACTGGTCTAAGGCAGGTAAAATCTCCTTCCTTTTTTTTTGCAACACCTTCACTGCAACCGATTTTGTTTGAAACGTCCCTCTGTACACTGGACCCTCCTTTCCTTCAGCAATCTTCTTCCATAATTTGACTTCTTCAGATAAAATTTTCACTAAAAATTATTTGTTCAAAATGAACTCTAATTTCTAAGAAAGCAAATGTTAGTTTTTAATAGATGCTCTAACAGCAAAAGTAATCAATTGTACAGAACAGCAAACGTAAGTAACATTAGATTTTTGAAGAATCAAAAAGCCTAAAGTTTTCTTTTTAGCTGGTAACGACAAGTTTTTAAACCGATAAAAGTTTGAATTTGAATCCAATTCTTTTCAAGAAGTTTTAAAAACTCCGTTATCTTAATGAGATATTGTGTTTTTGAAGTAGGTAAATTTTTGAGGCAATAAACTTATACAGTTTAAAGACAAAAAGTTTTGTAGAATTCAATATTAAAAAAATACTAGCAGAAATTTCACTTGTCATGAGGTTTGAAAGCTGCTTTTGATTCAGTTGCCCTGCTTCATCGACTAATTTTACCTGAAAGATGTAAAATCAGCATTATCTAGAGCAGTTTTACATAATATCGGTAAACAAAAACGTACAGTAAAACACACTTATTTTGAATTAATTGTGAAAACTGCAAAATACTTTCGAAAACGACTAAAGTTGATTCAAACAAAGTGGAAATACGTAAGTTACTCTTTTCATTTTTAGAGTAACACTGATTTTAAAAAGTAGCAAAAAACTTTACAAAAGTGAGTCTGTATTCTTGCTAAAAAACTGAAAGAACGATTAATTTGAAGCTTTAACTTTGTCTTATTTTCTGCAAAAAACTTTGAAAAAAGAGGTATTGTAACAACAGAAACTGCAGAAAAAAGTGCTTTAGAAAAAACAATTCACTTAATCGTTTGAAAAGATATTTTAGTATTGTGCAAAGCAGTAATCGCCACTTGCGCTGCATTCAGATATATCACTTTTTATCCATTTTACAGAAAGCCATCGTATTTTAGCTGGTTGCATAAAAAACTTGGCTTAATTCAATCCTTGATTCGAAGACGATAAAGACAAGTGTAAATAAAAAACAGTAAAGACATAAAAGCTGTTTTTTGTCAAGCAAAACAATTTTTTTAGGCAAACTTCAAGACTTTCTCTTATTCTAATATGTAAGCTTGGTTCTTGACATATAAAACTAGAAGGGAATTTCTTCAGAATTTTAATTAAACAACAGCCTTTTTGCAGTCAGTCGGCTATAACTTAGTTTATTTTTAATTTTAAAGTTAAGTTAAACTATGCTTAACATGAAACAGAGTGAAGATAGACTTTAATGAGTTACTCGACATAATCATGTTTTTTCCTTCCAACTCTCGTTTTGGTTTCCTTTTTAAACTCTTTTTTTCTTATATAATTAAATCTGGTATTGTTTTTAAGTCAGGCGTATGCGAATCTGTATTAAATTATGCTTCTACTTCTGTGTTTTGCGTGTTCTCCTTGATTTCTTAATCATAATAACTAAAAAAACTTAAGTTTTTGTTCTACTACCTTTGAAATGACTGAAAAGCTATTTGCACACTCAGTAAGGTTTTCAGATTAAATGCTTTTAAGAGATAAATAATGTGAATCAGTCTCGCCATAAAATATTCAACTAATTAGCAAAATACTATATGCTTTTAAATGCAGTAGTGCTTTTTAAAAAGCATAAAAAAAATCTTTGAGTTCAAAATACAGTTAGCATAACTGTTGGTGATTAACAAGGGTTAATTACAGAGTTTAAAACGATTATAATATAGAATAATAACAAAGTGTAGAATAATTAAACAGCAAAGTGAAGCACAGTAGAAAACTGAAAGATAAAAGGAAAAAATAACGTATTTCTCTTCCTCAAATTTATAAAACTTTTGCTTATTTCTTAATTCCATATTCAAATTATAAACAAGTGTCATAGAAAAATTTTTTCAACGTGTTCTTTCTACGCATTTATTTCTTATAGAGAAATGCCATCAACTGATATGAATAAAAAAGAAAATATTACTTTGTATTGAATTTCCGTCTTCCTACTGGCTTCGTTTTCTATGTAAAAAGCATTTGAATAGCCACTGCTTTTCAACCGGTGCAGTAATTCCTTTACAAAAAAAATCTTAATTTGTTCATAAAAATTATTTTGACAATTGTTTTTTTTTAAGTGCTTCAAAAATTTCACTTTTAGAGTTTGGTATTTTAACGCATTAGTGCGCAGACAAAAAGTTTGTTCAGAAGAGATATTGGCGAACTTAGTTGATTGTTACTTCTATTATAAAATATAAATAAATCTACTCGATACTAAAGATTTTTATAAAACTTCAAACATCCTTACGTCACTTCGGATTTTTGCAGCCAACTTGCCTTCCAAATACTTCGCAATATCAACGTGGTTTCTGCAGTTGGCGAAATCCAGCGGTGTGTACTAAAGAAATACGAGTTCACAGCTGTCACTGTATTATTAAACTCGTAAAATAATGAAGTTATTTGTTAATTAAAGCTGGATTAGATAAAGTTTGTACCTGCCGTTTACTTCGTGCGTTAATATCAGCTCCTTTTTCCACTAAACAGCGAACAACATCAAAATGCCCACGATATGCTGCGTAATGCAATGGTGTGACCTGAAAATATGTACAAGTAAATATAGCACTTTACACTTTGATTATTCTAGCTTCCATTCTGTGATTTCATATGTAGAGGAAACTTTCACCAGTTGAACTGCACTGCAAAATCTGAATTTGCTTTTGAAAGTTTAAATCAGTAAGATATAAACATTTGAGTAACCAACAGAAAATTACAATTAATTTGCAACTGAACTTTTTTTTTCTACAGTTTAAGCTGAAGTGGAACCTTGGGAACATAAAATCACTGCGCATGATAACCAGCTGCACATCACCGAATTTTCTAACAAGCGATTATGTGCTAGTTTTCAAGTACAATATGCTGCCAATTTCTTAGCAAATACAGTAGATCCAAATCATTACTAGATGTTAAATTTCAGAGTTTTTTTATATTTAAACAGCTAATTTATTAACTAAACTTGTCAAAGTTTTCCGACAGATGCAAATATACAACTGGGAGATATTGTTCCCTGCATCCTTCAAGAAGATGTTTCTATCTAGAAACCTGACTTACCGCCCATAGCGATTTAATCCTTTTGTTAAGACTAACGTTTCACTATCACTTTAGAAGTGTAAATTTTGTACACTACTTCTACTCTCTTCGTTAGCGTTCGTTCATTTCCCAATCAAGTAATTTACTTCTTCGAAACATTTTTTACGAGGCGTCTAGTAAAGTAACACTTTTTCAAAGGGAAGAACTTGAAGGCACGAAAGTGCTTAACACTGTGACTGTCTACTTTTTGATCTGCAGTTTCACGAGCGAGAGGTAACTTTCACAGCAAATTTTAGCCAAAATTAAAGATCTTTTCTTTTTTTAGGAGCATATACTTTACAAGAGGAAATACCATCTTAAGAAGCTAAAACTAGAATATAATAAATCAAAAAAAGAATAAAACGGCAAACCCAACCTATTCAGAACCTTTTCAGTTAAATAGTAAAACAGATAAAAATATGTTGAGCTCAAAAAGAAAAATATGAATTTTTTTCAAATAAAGAATATGTACTGTGGTGTCTCTTTCTAAACCTTTCGTCACTGCAGTGTATGAAACATTTAGCATTGTCAGAAAAATCTTACTCCATGATAATCTTTCACAAGTAGATCTGCTCCTTTCTCTTCCAAATAACAGACAACGTCAAAGCGACCATTGCTCGCTGAGTAGTGAAGCGGTGTCTTCTAGAAAATTTTAATGGTTTTGGAAAAGAGAAATTAAACGACTGTGATGTTTAATTTCCTCCTAGTTTAACTCCAGAAGTCAATCATTCAAATAATTGTTGAGTTAATTTTCAATTGTTGAAAAAAAGCTCTTGACTCAGCAGCTTATTGATCTAAATTGCACTAACAGTGTAAAATACTTCTCAATGGCATGCCAGCAGCAGCCCGCCCGTTACCTCCAAACCATATAAAAACTTGTGAGCATATTAAGCAGATACTTACAAAAAAACTACATCTAATCCACTCAAGCAGCTCATTTTGCCAGCCTAGTGAGCCGATGCATTGATATGTCAAAAAGATAATGGTTACAATCTGATTAAACTGAAGAGAAAAAGACGGAAAAGTTTAAAGGTTGAGTATGTTAAATTACAGCCAGTCAGACTTTATTAGTGTGATTCATCTGTCTAAGTACCTAGAAAACAATATCTACGTCTGCACTGTAACCTTATCAAGCCTAAAATAACACCGAAGAAAGAATCCTACTCCATGCTTGTCCTCTGAATTTGAACAAGCTTTTTTTTCCAGGAGATATCGAAGAATGTCCATTTGACCAAAGCGTGCCGCGCAGTGTAACGGTGTCACCTAGCGATAGTCGAAATTTGTTTGAGACTTACAGAACTGTTATGACAATCATTTTACTCACTAAAATCTGAACAAATTTTTTCAACACTATTTTAATTTAGCAAAGTCAACATTAAAATAATTTCACACTCGGTCAATGTCTTTCGCATTTACTTCCGCTTCTTTTTCAACCAGACAGCGAACAATATTGAGAAAGCCTTTAAGCACTGAATAGAACAGTGGTGTCCTCTGCAAAATATCCACTTTTGAAACGCCTTTTTGAAATAAAGAAGATTATATGCAAAGCACAAACATCGTGCATTCTGACCTGCTGCACGTTGCTGAGTTGCCAGATCCCGATTCTACGACAAAGTTGCTTTATGTGCTAACTAATAATAAGTGTTAATTCCCAGAGCTTTTTATTCTTGAACGATTAATTATTAAATTGAATATACCAAACGCTTTTTATTATTACAAGAAGAATGATCAACACGCAAACAGGGGTTAACCTTCCCGTTCACCAACTACATACTTCTAAGTGAAAATCTCAGTGATTGCATGCAGTGCCTGAATCACCTAATTCATAGTTTGTATGCTGACAAACAGAGCAAAAAACTCATACCCCCTTAACGTCCCTCGCTTCGATATCTGCTCCAAGCTCTATCAGATAGTGAACAACATTTAAATAACCTTCCTTCACCGCCCAATGCAGTGGTGTCATCTGAAAGAAAAAACAGTAAATATTGACAAAATGTCAGAAGTAGATTAAACTTTGTACCCCAGTCCTGTCACTCGCATTCACATTTGCTTTCATCTTGACTAGGTAACAAGCAATCTCCTTATAGCCCAAGAACGTTGCACAGTGAAGTGGAGTTTGCTGATAAAAGTAACAAGTTTTAATAACTTTCGAAATTTCAAGTTATATAATTCAAAGCTTAATGCCACTATACTTCAAAATCAGTAAATCCCTGCCTTGTTCTTTTCATCAAAAAAACCTATTTTACATTAAATTTTTTACATTACAGATTTTTACGACTTCGGAAGGCATACCCCTTTATTGTCTTTCGCGCTAATGTGCGCTCCGTGTTCCACCAAGCAACGAATAACATCCAAATGGCCATGATGCACTGCGTAATGCAGTGGTGCCGACTGAAAGAGCAGACAAAGAAATTTACTGCATTATCATAGGCAGAAAAATTTTCTTACTCCGTCGTTGTCCCTCACATTAACGTCCAATCCCCTCTTTTTGAAATAAACAATAAGTTCCGAATAACCAAACTGCGCTGCGTAATGTAGCGGTGTCCTCTAAATACGTTAAATTTTATTAACAGTCAAAACATCCTCATAACATTTATTATTGTAAGTATTTCTTCTACATTAACACATATGATAAATTTTTGTCAAAAAAAGTTAAAGAGCAACTTTTCTGGTGCAGTGTGACGTTAAAAAAAGAAGTACTACGTAAAATTATAGCTTTTCAGTAACACTAGAAGAATGCAAAACTTTGTAAATGACTGAATATGACTAACAACATAGTTATTTCGTACAGTGGCCCCATTTACAGTGAACAGGTTTCCAGAGTTTTAGCTCTATAATGTTCCTAATACACAAGTTTTATATTCAAAAAAGCAACCAAAAAAGCTGAATATATCAAAACTCGGGTTAATTTTCATGCAGGATTATCGTTAATGAGTAACTACCTTTGATGTATTTCCCAAAAGCTCCAAGTTCTTAAATGAACTGCACTGCCTACTCTTTATTTAAGACTACAGTTTACATCATAAAACTTCGAATAGTACGTTTAAGATCGAGCAGACATTTAGAAGTACAGAAAAGCGTACATTTCGCTTATTCGTCCCGTAAAATTCCACTCGTTGTTCAATTAGAAACCTCAGTATCTCAAGCTGTTTCCTTTCAGACGCATACTCCAAAAGTCGTTTCTTAAAACTCCATTCTATTAGACTTACAGCACTTTTGAAATTACAGACACTGACATGTGGAATTTCATACAATAAAAGTGAAAAAAAAGAAAATCATACGTTTTTTGCGTCTTCTATATTAATATCTGCCCCGTTTTGTAATAAACAGCAAACGACATCCAGGCGACCATTATTTACTGCGTAATGTATTGGTGCTAGCTAAAAAAGTGAAAAAAGCAGTTTAGAACACCTGAAAGCGTAAAAAATTTTCCTACTCTGTCTTTGTCTTTCGCATTGATGTCCAATCCTTTTGCTTTGAAATAAGCGATGACTTCCGAATGACCAAAGTACGCTGCGTAATGTAGCGGCGTTCTCTAAAACACTGAATTTTATTGATGCCGAAATACTCTTACATTATTTGCTGCTTTAAGTCTGTGCTTTACAGTAATGCATACGTAATATTTTTGTCATAAAAAAATTTGAAAACAACTTCTTAGTACAATATGTTATGCTAAGTATGTAAAAAAGAAGCAGGAAATAAGAGTTTTCCCTGCACTTTTGAATTTACTACTAGTGCATGACTGAAGTACTAACGAACAAAAAAGTATGACAGGTGACGAACTGAATGAGACAGTAACTGGGTTGGAGTAATTTTTTATAGAGCTGATACGCGCATAAGCGTTTAAAAAGTAAGCTTTGCAGAGTTATAAAAATTTGGTATTTAGTAGAAAAAATCTTGAATATAAACGCATCAATTCCGAGTCGGGACTGGTAATGATTAACCTCTAACAATGTTATTATTCTATGACAACCATTCTGAGAGAGCATTTCTTCAAGGCTTAAAAGAAAGCACTGATTACATTGCTTTTTCGTGCCCCAACAGCAGTGCTTTACTTGCACAGAGAGAAAGCATTGTGTTTTAAGACTAAATTAACCGTGGCCTACAAATTTCATCAAACTGTGCAAAATTCTACTTTTTTTTTATCTGTTCCATCGAAATCGGTTTCTCTTTCAATCAGATACTTCAACACCTCGAGCTGCTTATTTTTTGATGCACATTCCAGCAACCCACACTACAATACACCACATTATTAAACTTACTGCACATTTAAGTGTGAAAAAACATTGATTTCTCTTTTCATATTTGCAAAATGAAATGCAACTCATACTCCGTTATTGTCCCTCACCTTAATACTTGCTCCGTTTTCTACCAACCACTGAACAATATCGGTTTGACCATTACGCACTGCATAGTGCAACGGTGTCCACTAAAAAAAAGCAATAAACTTTTCAAATTTAGAAGAAAATTATAAAGAAGGAAATTCTATTGAACCGTAATTCACCTCTGCAGATTCATTCAGTAGTGTAGTAAAGGAAAAAAAAGTGATTAGCAGTAACGTTAAAAGCAAAAAGAACATACCCCACTGTTATCTTTCGCACTTATATCAGCTCGCTCTTTTACCAAAAACTGAACAATATCGAGGTAGCCACTAGTCGCTGAGTAGTGCAAAGGTGTTTTCTGTAAAATATAAATAACTTTTGAAACACAAAGTGGTAGTGTTAAACGACTGTATTTATTATGTCACTTTCTATCTGATCATGAGAGGTTTCAAGTCGACAATTTGTAGAATTCAATCCTAGTGAAAATGCACAATACGAGATCCTAAGTGGTGTATTGAAAACTGCAGCAAGTCCATTTATTTTAAACTGTCCAACAACATTGTAAAATTGCAGACAACTGCAGGAAAATTTCTAAGTTACCCTGCTTTGCACACCGATTTAATTTTAGAATTTAATGCAGCTTTTTAAATATTTGTGCCCAGAACAAAAAGATAAGGAGTGAAAAATACGTGTAAGTTTGATACTACAAGACTCTACATCATGATTTATAAAAAAATTGAAAAAAATACTCCTAAAAGGCAGTAACACTAATTATGACTGCAGTATGAGCATTTTAGGCTTAAAAGTCACAAATAAAATCCCAATACAAATTTATTGTAAAATCTTGAAGTGCCCTTTTAGACAAGTAGTATTCAATAAGGTCCAGTCGATCACATGCTACAAAGTGCGATGGTGTCATTTTATGTATATCTGATTTTATTTTCATATAGAAGCCTACTGCGGCACTGATTTTACTAAGTGCAAAGAGGAGAAAAAATTTTTTTGTGTCGTATATTAGGTCAAGAACTGAAATAAAGAATTGTATGAGCAAACTTTCAAGCGCAAGATGGCAGATGCTAGACAGTACTGTTTTTCATGTGTAGTAACAAACCTAGACTTTTAGAGCCATCACTACATCTTTTAAAATACGTGTTTCCCGAAATCATCGTACTTTTTTTTACAACGCGATTTAAGCGTGTAAAATGAAATAATAGAGAATTAGTGTCGCTACTATTGTTGCTAAAGATACTCAATATACTCATGTTAAATAATCGTCTCTTTAACAAAAAAAAATGAGAAAAGTTTTGGCTTGCTAGTATAAACGTTGTCTGATGTACAAAAGAGCCAGTAAAAAATTGATTTAATAAAAAATTATACTGATGTTTAGAAGTTTATCGCAACTAAACAAACCATACCCCCTCCTTCTCCTTCGCATCCAACTCTGCACCCTTTTCCGCCATAATGCGAACAAGATTCAGATGTCCAAAATGTGCTGCGAAATGTAACGGCGTTCTCTGAAGGTACGTGATTATTTTAACTTACGTAAAACGCTGTTTTAACTTCCTGCTCCACAGCGATATTCCAAGTGAACATTTGTACAAAAAAATCATTTTAGAAGTAGTTTCATAATGAGCTGCAATAACAACAAGGCTCGCAGGCGCTGTATGAGACCTCGTTCGTGCAGCACATGGTCAAACTTATATTTGTTGCACAATTTAAACAGCAAAAAAAAGCGCAAAACTGTTTCACCGATCAATTTTGATTCGCAACTCACATTTATGAGCTCTGTAGCACTACCGTCGTTAGCAAACAAGTTAATAATTAAAAAAAAGTGAAAGGTTCTTTTTAAAGTTATTATATAAAATAATTGTAAGATATAAGGGCGTTAACCAAAACTTCAAAATGGGGGTAGTTGCTCTCAGTGCAATATAACCAGTGATAGTAAAGGAAAGGAAATTCTTAAAAAACGTGTAGCATTTTAACAAAAAAAGAAAACAATTTCCTTCGCTATCAGTAACACCAAAAGCTATGTGTTGTTCGATAAGTTAGTATAAAAGTCCTGATTAAGATTTAAGAAGGAGTGGTTAAACAAGAAAAGGTAGAACGCTGCGATTGAAACATTCGTTTTTCATTGCAAATTTCTTAAAGACCTCTGTAATCTACCAAAAAGATGTAAAATTTTTACTCCATTATCGTTCCCTGCGTTGATATCTGCTTTATTTTCTACCAAAAGTTGAGCAATATCAGCATGACCATAGCACGATGCATAGTGCAGCGGCGTCCACTAGAAAAAAACAAGGTTTTTAAGTTAAGCACCACAACAATTGAAAAAAAAGGATTTTACCTCATGATTTGCCTTTTTGTTGACGTCCGCTCCAGCATTAATCAAATATCGAACAGCAACTGTGTGATGATCAGCTACTGCACAATGCAATGCTGTCATCTAGGATAGTAAAGAAAGTATATCACTATAACGGAAAGAGAAAAAGAAAGAAAAATCTCTTACTCCACTTTTATTCTTCGCATTGATATCCACTTTTTTTTCGATGAAATGTTTTAGAACATCTTGATGGCCAAAGTGCGCGGCGAGATGCAGAGGAGTTCTCTAAAAATATTAAATCATGATAACATTTTAAAAGAGCTCTTATTATTTAGAGGTTGAAATGTGATAAACTATAGACAAGTACTTTTCCAAGAAATTATATGAGAAACTACTTTAATGCAGTAGGCCATCTTGAGATTTAGAAATGAAACATTAAATTAATACATTCACAACAGTGTTGAGCTTATGCGTTTTGTATAAGCTGAATAAGATCAGAAAATTTTAGCAACTCAATTTATGCCAAATTGTTTTGTATCTGTTGTTTGTAAAAAGACTGTACCAAATATACAAGAACTCAACAACTAAACTGTGAAAGTTTTCAAACACCGAAAATTTGAAGTTGTTGAAAAAGGTGGCCGTAAAATGCAACATTGGCCCGAGACTGATAATATCTAGGCTCCACACAACATTATCATTATACAATAAAGACGTTGTAAAGCACCTTGTACAGCACGTCTTAGATGCATAAACCACGGAACAGTTGATGCTGTTTGTTTTTTGGTGAACCGGTGCAGTTTAAATTAACGTTACGCTTAAGTGCAAACTTCTGTAGAATTACAAAACATGGTACTTTTACCCCTTCATCCTTATCAAATTCCACTGCTTTCTCAATTAGATATTTCAGTACCTCAAACTGTTTGTTTTCTGACGCGAGTTCCAGTGGTGTACACTAAAACACGCATACAGTTTTAGATATACCGTGTTTCGAAAGTTATAAGCACCAACTTCTTGATTACGTAAAGTCTCAAATAATAAATAAAATTTCTACTCCATTATTGTCCCTCAAGTTAATATTTGCACCATTTTCTACCAACCGCTCCACAATATCGGTATGTCCATTCTGCGTTGCATAATGTAGCGGTGTCCACTAAAAAAAAACTCTTCTAGTTTACAAAAAAGTTATGACAACAAAAATTTTATCAAAGCATGACTTACCTTTGTATAAATATTCAATATCGTATTAAAAAAAGAAACGCGTAGCTGACAGAACTGTTACAATGTAAAAAAATTAATTACTCCGTTGTTATCTTTTGTATTTACATCCGCTTCTTGTCTTGGCAAACATTGAACGATATCGAGGTGGCCATTATTCACTGAGTAGTGCAGAGGTGTTTTCTGTTAGACATAAACAACTTTTCAATATTTGATCAAAACAGTCTTCAAGTTAACGACATAGGTTTTTTTTTCAATTCTACTGGCAAAGAGCATTGACAGTTTCTGAATCATGTATTAGAAGCTGCAGCAATTTAGCCTCTTTATCATTTCTATAAGCATATTACATAATTAGTTGCGAATAACCATATAAAGTTTTCCAAATCACGTCGCTTAATTCACCGACCAAGCTTATGCAACGTAGTACAGATTTCAAAATATAGCGCCTAGACGCCGAGTGGTTTACAAGGAAAAGCATGTAAGTGTTTAAGGTGTTCAAGCGCCAAGTCACACTTGTTAAATCCGCAAAGAAACATTAATGAATCAAAGCAGCTATAAAATAACACTAATACTACAGAATGAGTATTTTAAGCTTAAAATTCAGACAAAGGTTCTCACCCCATATTTGTCCTTCAAATCCAAATCCGCTTTTTTTTCTAAAAGACAGCAAGCGACGTCGAACTGTCCATCGCGTGCTGCATAGTGCAGTGGTGTCATCTTAATAGAATTCGATGCTATTATAAATTTATTTTACTTATTCATTTTAAAACAAGGCTTCTCTGCCACCATTTTTGACTTACCACAGCTACAGTTCAAAAAAGATTCTTACATAATCCTTGTCTTTTTCATTTAATTTCGCTCCCTTTTCTGTCAAGTAGCGGACAATATCGGTGTGGCCCAAGATTGTTGCATGATGAAGTGGAACTCTCTGAAAAAGTCAAATATTTCACACTGTTTACTTAACCTTCACGTTCTGTACATTTTAATTTTCGTGTACTATGAAAGACGTCTTATGCAGTCAATCTTTTCCTCCTTTAGCTTTAGTGAATGCTCGAAATTTTCCATTGAAAGCTCTGGTGAGTAAGAGCGTCAACAGTAAACGAAGAGATTCTCAAGATGTTACTGCTCTAAAAACTGACATTAATTCAAAAATAAAACTTGAGCAAGGTGCATTTTTTCAAATCTAAAATCGAAAAATTTTTTGTAGTTTTAAAAAATCTTTACTGGTATGCTTATTTAATAGAAGAAGAAATTCCAGTAGTCGGAGAAACATTATTTATGAGACTGTTCAAAACAATAATTCAAAGAAATCTGGGAAACAAGTTTCGGTATTCACGAAACTGAGACTCATTTTTTTACTTTTTTTTTCTTTAAAAAACTGTTTTTAGAGGACAGTTCAAAAGTCGGTGTTAGATTACAGAATTATTAAGTAACTAAATTATGATATAAATCGTGTATGCTACAGAGTGCGTTTAAGAAAGGAAAGTTTCTGCTGCTTAATATTTCAAAACTCGTAGGTTTCTGTAGTCGATGATCATCGTTGTTGTTTACATTTTACAATGAATACTGCATCGAAAGTTGCATCTGTTTTAATTCAAATCTATGAAAGAATAATATTCTTACCCCGTCTCTGTCTCTTACGTTTAAATCCGTACATTCTTCCAAGAAATGGCAAGCAATTTTTAGGTGACCACTGCGCGCTGCATAGTGTTGCGGTGTCAACTTGAAAAAATGAAAATTTTATGCGTTCATGGCATTATTCTGGCATAGATTTTTGGCCGTCGTGAACTGGCAAACTTCTGCTACTTTATCAAGATAAAATCAGCTAAAAGGATCTGACCACCGTTTCAAAAAATTCATCTTTGAATTTGCATCAGGCTTCTATTTAAACCTCCTTAAAAATTCAGATAACTTACTCCTTCCTTATTTTTCTCTCCTAGCACCTCAATTAAGTACTTTGCTGCGGCAAGCTGTTCGTTTTGAAGCGCGTAATCCAATGGCATCCACTGAAAAAAATTGTGCAATGCGATCCACAAAAAACAAAAATTTTTCTTTTTTCTAAGGTATTAGGTAATATATGTTCAATGAGTTTTATGAAGCTGGAGAATTGGATAAATTCTCCAAGACTGGGTTGAGTGGTACAAAGTAAATGTGTATTTTTAAAAAACAAATTTTATCAAATCTCTACAGTGGAAAATGAATGTATATATAGAAAGTTAAAACAAGTCATCGTTATGTCGGTAAATTGATACAAAAAAATCTGCTAGAAGATTTAAGTGATGTTTTTGAAAAGTGAAGGAAATGTAACACTTTTGGGTTTTCGTTGATAAAAATTAATATAAAAGTGCTGTAAACATTTGAAACTCAGCAATGGAAAGCAAAACTTCTAAGTTTGTTTATAATATTGTTAATTACAACTTTTAATCATCTTTACAATAACTACTTACATTGCCTGTATCTCTTGCGTTACAATCGGCTCCTGCTTCTGCAAGATACCTGACCACATTGAGGCTGCCATAGAAAGATGCAAAGTGTAATGGGGTTCTCTGGAAAGAGTCGTATAGTTTAGTTGTCAAAGTATTTTAACCAGTACAAAAGACAAAGTTTTTAATACCATAAAAAGCACATAACAAAAATTAATTTATAAACTGTAAACAAAAGAATGAAGACGCTGCAAATGTAAGCACAAGAAAGACAAAGTAATTTTGGAATGCCATAAGAGTTATCACAAAATGTAAAAGTTCTCACTACTTTTTTGCCTCTACCAATTAAATATCAGTTTGATAGATACATAAAAAAATATTTCTAAAGAATGTCATCCCTGCCCTTTCACCTATCTCCTACTTGGCTACAAGAAGTCTACTTTTTACGCATCTCCAACAATTTTTTATTTTTTAATACTTTTTGCCAAATTTTTTAACTCTTGTAAGACTGCTGACTACAAGTGCCGATAGAAGCTCAAAGACAACTTTAAAATCTGTAAAAAAACATAATAGACCTGTTAACATATGTTTTTAAATAGTACAGGTCCACTGTTTTTCTTAACTTAAGTACGCCTGAGAAACTAGACTAGAAACGTAACACTTCTAGGATCAAAGCACACCTACTGCAGATTTATATTATGTTGGACAGAGGAAACGTGAATGTGATATGCCCAAAAAACTGAAAAAGCGGCTGCTAGATTTTGGGATGCAGAACTGAACTGAAGTGCTAAAAAAATTTGACTGCTTTATTCGCGCTCTGGGCACCTAACATCTCCAAAATCAGTATAATGCAAACCCGAGGTCCCAAAAAAAGCTGTCAGTTATAAAAAAAAGTAATTTTTTATGTTTGAAGGAGCTTTATTATAATATTTGAAAAGTAACAAAAAATAGTTAGACATTTTGAGTCTTTTGTAATCTTCCACACTTTTGCCAAAATAAAAGCAGGAAAAGAATCCTTCTAGTCGCAAACGAAAGTTTTGAATTGGCAGAAAATAACAAAGATCTATACTTAATTGATAGCAGCTTTATACCTAAAGTTTTATGTATTTTAATCAAACCCTTACATTAGATTCATCTTTTACATCTATTTCTTGTTCCTTATTCTCTTCCAATTTTAACAGAAACTTTACTACTTCTAGTTGATCATAATACGATGCGAAATGCAGTGGTGTTCTCTGAAATGAATAAATATGGTAATTTTTTACAATCTTTAAAAGATGTTACAGATTGAAAACTGTACTTTTCAGAAACTGCTACGAGACTTTTTAATTTAATAGTAACTATTTGGAAATTGTGTTTTTAAAAAGTTGATTAAGCAGTAAAGGAAAGAATACTTATTGGTAAATTTTAACTGCAGCATAAGTAGAGAAAAAAAATATGATGTGTAGACGAAAAAAAAAGCGAAAAATAGCTTTTTTATTTTAAGATACACCTCTTTGGTAAACGGAAAAATTTCTGATCAACAAAGGCTTGAATGTTTACTACTAGAAATAATTTTTTTTGAAAAAATTTAACGTTAATGAAAAAAATGCCTAATTGAAACAGTAATGACTCCAGATGCGAAACGACAAATATATTTAAACAAATACATACTCCATCTTTACTCTTTGCATGTAAGTCTGCGCCTTTCTCGCTCAGACTTTTTACTACCTCCAGGTGTCCAGAAGAAGATGCATAATGTAGTGGTGTCAACTGAAACAGTTGGTAGAAGTTTTTACATTACGGAGTAATCATAATTGATTTAGGCTAGTTCTAAATAAAATTTTGCTAGTTTAACAAAAGTAACTAAAAGAAAGTGAACGTTCACTGAATTTAGAAATGGTTATATTTTAAGATGCAACTGTTGAAAAATTTAAGACGCAGTCAGTCACCAATACGATAACATAAATATATGTCATTAAAATAGTAATACCTGTCCTAATTTTGATAAGAAAAAAGTTAAAAAATTTAGTGAATTTTCTGAGAGTACTTCTCGATTCGCTCTTATTTCTTTACAACTGCTGGCGCAAGTGAGAGTTTTAAGCGAATAACGAATAAGAAAAAAATTTTTAGTTAAGTACTGCCTTTTGCTGTAGCGACAAGAGATAAAATTTCAGTTTTTCAAAAAAGTAATCTAAAAAATGTTTTATAAGTGTTTCTTGGTTTTATATAGAAAACTCTACTCTAAAATGTTTGCTATTTCAAATTTTTCTAAGCTTTTTTAGCTAATAGATTCTAAATATAAAAAACCGAAGAGATAGCTTGAAAAACCAAGTTACCGCTATTTCCCAACTTGTCTGAAAGCAAAAATCTTGCAATTTTTTGCATATTTAAGCTGTATTTAAAAGCAGTTAGCTGCATGATTTAGAAATACAGTTTAGTGTCTTTAAATTTTCATTTAAAAATATTTCTTGCATATTTCAATTAATATTTATTTGTAAAATTTATTGCATGTACAAATGAGAAACGCAAAAAGGTAAGTTTTGAAGCACTTTAATGTTTGATCTTGGTTCACCTCGCATGTTACCTCAAGACTTATCATTTACTGATGACAGTGGTAAAACCTTTGTGACGTAACTCAGTTTCATCAAAAAAAATTTTTTTGGAGTAGTTCTTTATGTTTCAATTGGTTATGGCTTTTCTTTCTAACCTCTGCCTACAGTACAATTTGTCTCTATGGTCGAAAAAGATTGTTTGGACCTATAGCGTGCGGTAAATCTGATTAGAAAAACTCGAGCAGAAGAAAATCAAAAGTAAAACTAGAATACATATAACGCTGTTTAGGACGGCATACGAATTGCCAAAATATGTTGTAATATCAATGGCAGTGTTTTGAATAAATCAAAAATTTATTAAAGTTATAGAATAAGTATATCTTTAAACTTGTTAGCTGGTGCAAGTACAAAAAATAGCGTATTTTTTAGTTTTTGAAACTTCTTGTATAAACTGTCTAAAAGCTCAAAGTATTTTTGTTTTTAAAAAATTAAACCGTATTTGTTAAATATTAAAAAAATAAGATAAAACCTAACGTTGACGAAACAAAAGTTGAATTGCATGAAGTATTAGCGATGTTTGATTTTTTTGTATTCATTTACCAACGAAAACTTCTAACCTGAAATTTGGTTGTTGCATTGCAATCTGCTCCATTTTCTATCAGATAATTTACAATTTCCAGATAACCGTTTCGAGAGGCGCAATGAAGTGGCGTATACTGAAGAAAACAAAGTCTCTGAATTTTGTATTAGTCTTTCAATGTTCAACCACAGAACATTTCTTTCAGTCACTAAGCATTAAATTTTTTCTATTCGTTTTAATAGCAAACTAAACTAATAAAGTATACTTTTGATACAACAGTTCACAGTTTTAAATTCAAGCGAAAAAAAGATTTTGACAAAGTTGTGTTCAAGAAGCTATGTTATAATATAATCATAAAAGTAAAAGTTGTAAAAAGCTTGAGAATTTGAATGAGTTTTTTAGAAAACAGAATAAGCTAACATTTTAGATGTTTTTAACTGTTTTCGCAACTACTCACTACCTAAAATGCATAAAAAATTCGTCATGGTAAGCCAAAATTTTGGTTGAATTTATAATAATCAAATTTTCTGTTTTCCCGCAATAAGATGTAATATGTAGAAGTGTTCATTGAACAGGATGAAAATCATTTACGACGTATACAGTTTGTTTAAGCGAGTCAAACAGCAAAAGCCATAATTGTATGAGCTATTTTATGTCAAATTGAACAGTTTTCTTTGTCGCTAATCAGAATTCTTCATTATTTCAAATTTTGCTAGATAACAAAATTTGTGTTTTGATACGCAAAACCTAAAAGATATTAATTCGCATGTCGCTTTCGCTGGAAATTTGAACTTCTTACTTTTATTGAAAAGTTGCATTTTCTGGTCAAACTGTAGAAACTTTATCTTTTTCTTTTTTGAAAAATTGAATTTTTTCTGAATGATATTAAAAAGCAGTTGTAAAACTTTTAATAACTTTAATTATTATTTCAAAACCTCACAAAAATAACGAAGAAGAAATTGCATTGAAGGAGAAACTAATAAATATTGAACATGCTGTTCTTTCAAAGAGATATATTTCGTACACTCTCCTCTTTAAACGTGTATTCTACTGCTGGCGTAATGCATCGCTAACTCGAAAGTGACAGAAGAAACATGAAATAAATTCATGAAATCTCCGTTGAAACGCTTTTTTTTGATTCGTAAAGCATTCCAAATTTGCAGTTGGACTTCAGGATAATTTCGCGATCAACTTTCTTTAGTTACAGCACTCCACGTTACCGAATCCATTTTTCATCTCTGTAGCGATACAAAGCTACCTCACTGGTCTTTCAATCACTCATCGATCTGTTGTTGCTTCACCATTAAATTTGATAATGAAAAGGAATGCTGCACAAATTGCACCCGTTTCAGAAACATTTTATTGTTCAATAATTTTGTAGCCTATTTTGAAATAAGCATTTTTTTGCTGTTTCTGTGGTTTATAAAAATTGGTTCTAAAATAACTTCTGGAAACAAAAGCAACAT